TAGGTAGGTAGGTAGGTAGGTAGGTAGGTAGGTAGGTAGGTATGGATGGAGGACAGATGTGGGTGGGTGGGTGGATGAAGGAAGATGGGTGGGTGGGTGGATGGATGGATGGATGGATGGGTGGGTGGGTGGATGGATGGATGGATGGTTAGATGGATGGATGGATGGCTAGATGGATGGATGGATGGATGGCTAGATAGATAAGTTAGTTCTCCATCGCAACATGCTTGATATGCTGCGTTTTGGCCCTCAGTGCTTGGCCTCACTTGGCTGGTTTCCATAAGTGGACCTCTAATAAAGCTCACCTCATCGGTCATCTGAGGGTGGTTAGGAGAACTAACTTGGCTTGTATCACCAAGACTTGGAGGAGATGGCTCCTCTCTCTGAAATGGGTCCTCCTGTGTACTGAGGAGGCACCAGCAATGACTCCAGGGCAAGGGTAAAGGGTATAGTAGTGATTGTTACTTGTGAGTCTCTGGTGGCCTCCAGGAACCTTGTTCTAGAGACCATGAGATGTGAGGACGGGCTGCCCAAGAGTTGTTTAAGGTGGGCGGCCAAATGGAGCTTTTAAATAAACAAATAGACCACTTGTGGGGTGAAAAGGGACCTGCTCATCCTCATCTTGCTTTGGATTCCAGATGTCAGTCCGTCCAAATATGATCGGCATTACTCTCCTGAGCCATGATCCTGCTAGTGGCACCAAAGCCATCTATTGCCCACCAACCATCTACAGGCCAAGTGTCTCCAATCCCAGCATCTGCCCACCCTACAGCTCCTTAGCTGGCACCGCAGCCAGGTGCTACATACCACGTAGATACCGCCAGCTCTATGGCCCTAACTCCAGTTACTCTCTCTCTGAGCCGAGCTCCTCACTCAGTTCTTGGAGAAGTGGCTATCAGCCATGTAATTACGGGTACATCTTCAACAGTGACCAAGGATGCTATGACCCGTGCGCTTATGGGTACTTCTCCAGGGGTCTCCAAAGAAGCTCTGACCCCTATGGATTGGAGTACCTCTACAGCTATCGTAGAAGTTACTGCGATCCATGTGACTATAGCTATTCTCCAAGCTATGGTAGAAGATCCTACGAGCCGTGTGTTTATAACTATCCCTCCAATTACGGCAGAAGCTATTACCCCTCCCGTGGCTACACCTATCGCTGCGGGTACAGCAACGATCCGTGCGGCTACAGCTCTGCTCCTGGTTCCTGCCAGCCACGCTACGCGAACCGCCGACGCTACAGCTGCCGACCCATTTCTTATGACCCGTACGGATTCTCTTCCGAATCGCCCTACTCTTCGGGATGTCGGAGACGCAGCTCTGATTGTTGCAATGTATGTGGCCCTTATTAACTCGCTCTCGTCAGGCCCCCTCCAAGCTAAGCTAAAGACATCTAGAGTTACTACTACGCAGCTTCCTTTATCGCCGGTAGACAGAATCTTGCCAAGCTGAAGTAACTGCAGGCATCAATAGAGATATACGCTGAAATTCTCTAGGGAGGAGCCACCTTAACACTCTTCCTTCCAACTAAACTGCCGCTGTCTCTTGGTCCTCTGGAAAGGGGTAATTCCCTCCTTTCTGGGAATCCAGACCACATTCACCACACTGTAGAAGAAACATCCAGAATATCCAAGGTCTACCTTCTCAAACATGATCGCGAAAACGCTCCTCTCTTCTGTGCAATTGAACTGATATGGGTGGGTTATCCAAGAGATTTTTAGAAACCGCAAAGGACTGGTTTTCACTAACTTTTATCAACTTTTGCTAGCTCCATTCTACGCACCATTGTCCTTGTTTTCTTCATCCAGGGCTCATCTCGTCCAGAGAAATCTGCCCTTTGTGATGGGTGTTGTCACACTCTTTATTTTCACGCCAAATAAAGCTTGTTCTAAATTGCTGATAGTTGTTTGTTTTCTCTCTTAGATCCTTTCAAGTTGCCTGGTGGCGGGAGAAGTATTTATTTACAAATTGCAAATAAATAAAACTTGGGGCCCCCGCAGACATGTGAGGGGAGGGGATATGACTCAGTTTGAATACCTGAGTTGTGTTAGTTGTGTCAATCTAAATATTTACCCCCAATTCAGAAAACCAAGTCGATTGGAGTGAGATCTCCAAATCAGGAGATCCAATTCACACTAATTAAGTTTCTGATTGGAATCAAATGCTGGAAATCTGTTCTCGTGAGTTCACACTTTCCACTGTTCATCAGATAAAGACTCCTCTGTTTATCATTTAAAAAAAACAGATAAAACTCTAATACATATAGAAAGATCAAATCAGATTGGTTTAGCTGGGGAAAGAGTATAATATGAGCGAAACCCTACTAAATCTTAAATAAACCACTATAGCCTTCATACTAAATACTGACTCCTAAAGCAAGCTTGTCCAGCTAAATAAATAAACATCATGGTTTTGATTAATTTATGCAGGTGTAGTTTATTAGAATGTAGTATCATTATTATATGATTGAAATAATAATTTAACAGTAATGTATGAATTACGAAAAGCAGTGTGGTGGAGTGGTTAAGGTGATGAATGAAGTTGACTAAGATCCGGAGCGTCAACCATGGAAGTTCCTTGGATGACTTTGGGCCAATCCTTCTCTCTTGGCAAGGTGAGAAGTTTTGATGTCCTTCACACCTCCCTTGTGAGAACTTTCTGTTTGGTCCACCAAGGGATCTAAGAGAACCAGAGTCTGTCTAATCCAATCTCAACTCTTCCTCCTGTTGCCTTACTCCCGTGTCCTCTTCCTCTCATGGCCTCCTCTTCTCTTACTATTGTGTCCTCTTCTTCTCCTGTCCTCCTCTTCTCTTACTTTCATGTCCCCTATGGCTTTCCATCAGGATGAGCTTTGAATTATGAAACCCAATCTCAACCACACGTTGATAATTAACCTCAACCCATTTCTCATGTTTACAGCAATTAGTTGGGCTCACAATCTTGTCTTACGAGGAGGTGCAGGGTTACACCCTGCCTTTAATCTTACATGTTTTTGAGAAGACTAGGAGGAACGAAATGAGTTCCTCCTGGACTTGTTCTCCACACAGCAAAACTTCCAGGTGTCTCTAAGTGGGACGCCCTCTGCTTCTGAATGATGTGGTTGGATATCAGTGGGGCCACCTCAGCGATGTTCTCCAGACATCTTGACTTTAGGCTGAGTTGACCCTTGGTCAACATCTATTTGTTCCATTGACAAACGGTGTACCGAACAGAAGCAAAGCAGACCAGGATTCAAACTCTTATTGTGTGAATGCATCAACTCAGCCAGTACCCCATTTGTTGATGGAACAAATAGATGTTGACCAAAGATCAACTCAACCTAAGAGCTTTGGTCAACATCTATTTGTTCCATCAACCGATCATGGCTTTCCTTCATATATGTTGAGCTATCTCAGGTAAGGACTGAGTTGATGCATTCACACAATAGGAGTTTGCCTGGTTTGAATCCTGGTCTGGTTTGTGTCTGTGACACTCCAGCCTTTTTGGGTTAGTTTATGATCCAGGATGGTGTGTGAATTCAGATACTGTGGCAGGCAAACATAATAATCACATCCAATATGCAGTGATAATTATGGTCAAATATTCCACCTTTTAAGCTTCCCTTTGAAGGCCCTATCTCAAAAGAATATAATTACAGATTAACAGAGCTGAAAAGGACCTTGTAGGTCATCTAATACAACCCCCACTCAACCAGGAGACCTACACCCTTTCTGACAAATGGCAGCCTCTTCTTGAAAGNACACACACACACACACCCCAGTGAACAGAATCAGATTGAGCCAAAAGAATATATGAGCCATCTAATAACAGGTTCAGGATACCGTCTTCCCAGAAGTAATCCATTAAATTGAGACCTTCACTGTGGGAAGAGTTGAGATGGCACTCTTGAAACACTTCTTAGAGAGGTGAAGGAGAAGCAGCAATTTGCTGACCAAAACTCTCTTAAATTAAAATAATCCCATTTCCAACCTCCTGAGAACTAAGAGCTTCCATTAAATGGTTAGTAACAGATTAGCACTGCTCTTCAAAATATTCAACTTGCAGCATAAATATGACTGTGCATGTACTTAGGTAGTTTTTGTGCTTCAAAATTGATGGTTTTCGGCAGCCTTAGTTCCACACAATTTCATATGTTTTCAGTTTCTGGATGTTGACGTCAATGGAAATGTTTATCTTGACACTTCCACTTCTTAATTTAAAAAAAAAAGAAAAAAAAAGTGCTATAAGCAGTGGGACTTTTGCAATATTGCTGTTGGCATATTGGCAGAATTGTTCGTAGTCTTCCATTTCTGTGCTTATTTTTTCAGTCTCTTCCCAGCGTTCCTAAAAGGCCAATCTAGAAACTGTGCAAAATGATTGTAACACTTGAGACAAAAACTTCAGTGGAAATGCTTCCATTTGGGTTCGGATTGAGATCAAAATTTCAAGGCATTTGAGGGACAGTGGGTTTTTTTTAAAGCCCCTTCCTTCCTCCTACCCCGGGGCGATTAATTGTATTTAAACAACCTACCTAAAACCAATGGGGAATTTTACGGGATCGCTACCGAAATGACCCAGCTTTTCCTACGCTAAAGGTCATTTTAAAAACAACAGCAGACTTTCAAAGTTTTCAACAAAGTGCTTTATGGGATATTGACCTACTCTAAACAATGGAAGGACGGTTCATGTACCTTCCAACTGATTAGATAAACGAGAAGGCTCTGTGTAACCAGATGGAGCCTCTTCTCACTCCACAAAGACATTGGTTGACCTCTGATGAAGCTGTTGGGCGTCTGCCTTCCACCACTGCCGCGGTGACTCTGGCCCTGGGCCGCCACGGGGCCCCCTCTGCTTCACCCATGCTTTTGTCCACCGGTGCTGATAGCGATGCTTGCTGCCGGCGACGGAGCCATGATGAAATGCCTTAACCCTTTTGCCGGTGGAGAGGATGTTTGCTTAACGGTTTCTAGGGGGCTCCGTTTCCTCGAATGCCCTCCTTTTACTCTTGCGCTTCTAGCCCCATGGATTGTTTCCATGGGGGGTGCTTGGTCTCCCCAGCGTACGGCAGAGCTATCAGCATTCGGTTCCTTGGCATGGCCACGCCGCTCTTTCCCGGCTGATGGCCTTCAGGGTAGACTCCTTTTGTTTCTATTTTTGTTTTCCGCTTCGGATGCCTACTTCTAGTCCAAATAATCAGGCCTTCTTGTAGCTTTGAAACCCCTCTTGTCTTGCAGATGTGGTTAGGTGTTGATGTCCCAATTCAAGGTAGTAGGCAGCCCAAGATGCAGTTGGAGGCCATCCTGCCCTGCCCTATGCTCTGTGAACTGACCTAGCTAGGCCTTGTACCTCTGTCTCTGAATGCGTGACTCATCGATATGGGCGTTTGTGTTGGGCCCATACCAACCTTGTTTAGTCCCACAGTGTTTTGTTCGCCCCACGGAGGCCAAGAAAGCCGCAGACGAGGCCAAGATGAGATTCGCCCACATAGACGGAGATCATTTGACGTTGCTGAATGTCTACCACGCTTTCAAACAGAGTGAGTAGAACGCGGGGTCTTGGGTGTGGGTGGGGCTGTTCTCGGCGCCAGTTGATTTATTTTATTTATTATTATTTATTTATTTGTCTTGTATGCCGCCCACTCCCGGAGGACTCCGGGCGGCTCACAAAAGACAANGTGGCACCATCCGTCCTTTTATCCCCAGAATATGCCCCTAACGAGCCCCAGCTGCATAATTAAACTTGCATCCCGAAAAGACTCACAGAAGACTGCTGCTGAGTCACCAACAATGACCTATGACCTTCTGCACCGGAGACAAATTCCTTATGTGTCCTATCACACTCAGCCAATAAAGAATTCTATTCTATTAACTATTGTTATTAAAACTTCTGCCATCAAAGATAGAGTAGAAGAGAAGAGTAGAGAATAGAAAATAGAATAGAAATAGAATAACAGAGTTGGAAGGGACCTTGGGGGTCTTCTAGTCCAACCCTCTGCTCCAGCAGGAAACCTTATACCATTTCAGACAAATGCTAGTCCAATCTCTTCTTAAAAATCTCCGGTGTTGGAGCATTCACAACTTCCGGAGGCAGAAGTTGAAGAAGATAGCAATGGCCATAGTTGAAATGGGGTTATAAGGAGGCTGGGATTTTGGAGGAAGAAATTATCTGTATGCCTTAAATACAATTTTGTAGGAAAACAGTGAAAAGGCTTTGGGGTTTTTTAGCTTCCGAATGGCCCTGGCTGGTATGAATGAGAATTACGACTTGAAAAGGCTTTTGACTGGATAAAATAGTTCTCTTTGGTAATAATAATAATCTCCGCAGCATAGGAATTTGGATTTAATTTTCACTTGTCGAAGATTAGACCCATCCTTGAGTTCTGAAGCTAAGGCTGTTCTAAGTGCTTCAGCCCTGGGTGATTGACAGTGATAAAATTTGCTGGTTTTAGAACATGTCCTGGGATTAGGCTATATATCTTTAAATGCAGAAAATGAATGCTGCTTGTATTAAAACCCCAAAAGCCGCACGAAGGGCTGCTCTTGGTTTGTCAACAAAATATTCTTCCGTTGTCATAGTGATGGATTAGTTTATTAAAAGCAGCCCTCTTCCGTTATTTCGAGTGATTTCTAGAAATCCTGCTGTTGAAGAAATCTTATTTCACGTTTTTACAAAATCGTCTTGTTGCAGTGGTTGGTTTGATGCAAGGAAGGGAAGGCGTTTTATTTTTTATTTTATTTTTTCAGTTTTCAAGGGTTGCCTCCGAAGTGGTGAGTGCTTCATCACTGGAGGTTTTCAAAAAGAGATTGGAGAACAATTTGTCCGGAATGGTATAGAGCAGGAATGCCCAAACTTGGGAACTTTTAAGAGCTGTGGACTTCAACTCCCAGAATTCCCCAGCCAGCATAGAGTTGAAGTCCACAGCTCTTAAAAGTTCCCAAGTTTGGACACCCCTGTTATAGGGTCCCCAGCTTGAACAGGGGGTTGGACTAGAAGAACCCTCCTAGATCCCTTCCGTCTCCCATTAGTCTATGATTCTGTAAGGCTCTCCTGCTTGAGCAGGGAATTGGACTAGAATCTAGTCACTAGATAGCAATAGCAATAGNTATGTGCAAGGGGAATCTTTACCTTTACCTAATGTTTATGAAATCCATATACTTCCAACTTGCAATGACTGTACATTGATATTTGATAATCTGCTAATTAAAATGAAAAGCTTATATATTATGACTTTTCCCACGTAACAAAATCTGGTTGTCCACTATGAAAGTTTTAAGGCTCAATTGCCCTACTTTATGAGTTTGAACCAGGGAGATTTTCATGAAAACCATTCAAATACTTAGTATTTTAGCTATACAACTAGCAATAAAAGAAATATTCTATGGCAGCCCTACAGAGAAATCCAAGAACCCCTTGAAGAAGAATCCTTTCTTTTGCAAAACGATGCCTAGAGAATAAATTGGGCATCCATTCGGTGCACTCTCCTTTGATAGGAAGAATAAGAGAAATGGAAGCACAGGTAGTCCTCAACTTACAATGGCTCACTTAGTTCAAAGTCACAACGGCACTTTAAAAAGTGACTTATGACTGTTTTTGACGCTTCACGCCCGTTGCAACAATCCCAGACTCCAATGGACAGTCAGGACTGCAGAAAAGAATCAATTGCAACCAGCCTGCCTTCCATTGAGGGCCTGTACACTGCAGGAGTCAAAAAGAGGGCTGAGAAAATAGCTACAGGCCCCTCACATCCTGGACATAAATTGTTTCAACTTCTCCCCTCAGGATGCCACAATAGGGCACTGCCGGCTAAAACAACTAGACAAACAGTTTTTTCTCCCTGTGCCATCCCTCTGTGAACGTTTAATTACCATAGCACTGTCTCCTTTCTCATTCTTTCCCTCCTCATCTTCCTTACTATCTCCTCCTACTGGTTTCTTATGATTTATCTGTTCTTGTTTGCAACTTACGATAAATGATTATAACTATGATTTATGACCTGCTCTGTCCCCCCTTCTCCGCTCGTTAAACAGACGACAGGCAAACAGCTTAAAAAGAACTCTCTTTATCAGTTCTCGGCTCAGACTGGCTGTGAGCCCCAAAATAACATAATTACAGTCTCTGCC